GGGGGGGGGGGGGGGGGGGGGGGAGGAGATTAACCATCATGTTGGTGTCTAGGGAACTTTTATTCTTGGAGGTTAGGGAGCATCTGAGCTCTCTAATAATGATGGATTAATCAGTATTAATCCTGGTACAAGCTTGTAGTGCAAATACATTCCTTTGGTTAAACAGATCGTCCGCTCACCCCAAGAATCTTCCTTTCCTGAAACCATCACTTTTACTCTTAATGCTAAATAAACACATGCATATCTGAGCAAGAAGATGGATTCCACCCCACCATCTTTTAAAGTACCAAAGCCAGGATTATTAATATTCTGCTTTGCCCATGTATTTGTCGTATTTACTTATCTGTCACATCTATAAAACATGCTTCTTGCTAACTAGCTGGCTGCGCTGCCTCTCTATTTCTATGGGAACTCTGGCAGTGTTCATCCAGATCCCAAGGTAGGATGCACTACCTAGGCCAAGGGGGTGGTTCAAGCTTGGCGACTTTTAAGACTTGTGTACTTCAACTGCCAGAATTCCCCACCAGCATGGCTAGCTGGGTAATTCTGGGAGTTGAAGTACACGTCTTAAATTCGTCCAAATTGGAAAAACACTGGCCTAGGCCTAATAGGGACATGAATTCCCAGCATTTTAAAATGCTCCCAACTGGGCTTCAGAGTGTGATATATTCTGCAAGGGAAATCTTACCTATTTTTTCCCCAGGAAAAGTCTTGACAGGTTTATGCACCTCTTGCTTTCCAAACCCACCTGGGGCTTAAAATGCACAATGCTGTCGAAAGAGAAATGTACAGTTCCTCATCTTTCATCAGGCAGGATTCATACACCACCAATCTGAAGGGTGGTCAATGGTTTGGGTCCTAACTGCTGTGAGGCACCTCATCTTCACTGACTGTCAACATCAGAAGAGATTAGAATGATGTAAAAATAGATAGCTAAGGTCTAAAGGAGCCTTTGTGCAGACATGCCTAAAATACACAGCCCTTCTAGAGGCCAGTACAGACTGGTCACTGTTGAGAATTGGCTACTCACACAGCACCCAATATCCCTAACTAGACCGCCAACATAGGTACCCAACATACACTGTACAATACGTAAGGGATGTCTTTCACAAGCAATAGCAACAGCACTTATATACCGCTTCACAGTGCTTTACAGCCCTCTCTAAGCGGGTTTCAGAGTCAGCCTATTGCCCCCAACAATCTGGGTCCTCATTTTACCGACCTCGGAAGGATGGAAGGCTGAGTCAACCTTGAGCCGGTGAGAACCGAACTGCTGAACTGCAGGCAGCCGGCAGGCAGCAGAGGTAGTCTGCACCACTGCATTCTAACCACTGCACCACCACGGCTCATGGGCTTTGAAGTCTTGGAACAAGGTGAGGAAAGAACGCTCCTTAGGTGCCTGTTGAATAAAAAGATAAGGCCTTTGACAAAACAAAGGAACCATGTTACTAGCCATTGTTTAGTGGAAATGTCAATTGTGGGCACTCTTTCTTCACAACCAGAGTTGCCCACCTGTGGGGGGAGGAGAGAGACAACTGGTGGGAGGGGCCCCGCTTCCAATGGTGTGAGGCACAGAAAAGTCCGCACTGTATTAGCAGGGTCGTCTCACACATCCCCGTTATTTGTGAGAAAACAGGCGAGGCAGGTGTGAGAGCTCTCCGCAGGACAACAGAATTTATTCCACATACTTGTATTTTAACAACTCAGTGGCCAGAGTGAGAGACTTCATACACAACTGTTCAACTGGCAATTACAAAAAGCCATTGGAGATGAAAAAAGCCCCCGGAAGGCCCTACTACAAAATATTTCAAGTTTAACCAGAGGGAGAATTTGGGGGCAAGTTATGAATTTTCCCCATCACCTCTCCCTCCCCGTTTGAGTAACAGCCCTTTGAAAATGTGATCAGTGCCAAACACGATCCTGCCTCTTTCTCCTTGTCTGCAGAAAACAGAAGCTAACTTTCAAGCCAGAAAGGCTGTTAAGTCCTACCCCAAGCCAAAGGCAGAAGCAGCTAGTTTGAATAACTCCTGAGCAGGGAGGGGTACAGGGTCAGTGGGCAGCTTTGCCCCCTCAGTAGTTTCAAAGAAATGCTACCAGCAGCACAGACCAAAGCCACCTGGATTGTTTCCTGCAGTTTGGTAGCAGCTTGTCACTTGGGAGCGTCTCTGGTCTCTTATAGTCAAGACCGAAGCAGGAAAGCGGCGCTGGAGTCACACCCCAAGGCCTGAAATCCCTGACTTTCTATAGCTTTATTTTTCCGCCCATGACCTCCTCTGCTGTGCATAACTATCCCTTTCCAGGTCCTGTGTTTCGGTACAGCTTCTTTGAGCCAGGTTCCTCCCACCTGTGCAACTCTGCTCCTAGCTTCCCTCCCTAAACTGAAGCCCGCATCCCTTCATCATCTCTTCGGCTTGCTTTCTTGACAGTCATGGGTCCCATGACCACCTTCTCCGCCATTCCTGTAGCCCCAAGGCCAATCGCAAGACCCCAAATTAAATTAAAAAAAAAAAAGTAAATTAAAGCTAGCTTTTAAAGCCCATAAATAGGACAGGGGAAGAGGGAATAGTGGAACTCAGTGCCTCTTGAAGTTATTCCGATCTTCTATGATGAGTCTGTCTCCAAACCCTTCCCCACCACAGGGATGGCTGACTTTCTTGGGTCACAATGTATTTCAACTTGACTACAATGCCTGGCGTGCAGACACGGCCCCGTCACTTTGCCAGCAGAAGGAGCTGCTTGCTCCCAATTCCTCGGGACGCCTGTGAGCCGAGAGGGGGGAAAGTCTGGGAAGGGTCTGCTGCTGGCTACGGGTGTGTCACTGCAGGCTTTATTATTGCCCTGCGATAAAAATGCGAAGGAGAATAGCAGCAGCGTGGAGGCGGATCATCGCTTCACTTTGGCATCTTCCTTGATCTTCCAGATCATCAGCTCCATGCAGGCTCGGGCATCCTCACTGGAGTCGTGACCTTCCACTGTTAGCAGCCAGAAAAATAAGAAGCCATTCATTTACTTACGTCATGGGTTTATAGGCCCACCTAACCTGAACGGTGGGACTCTGGGTAGCATAGAGTAAAAAACAAGCAAAACCCCAAAATAAACACATAACTGTCAACGGTGCTAACATTGGAGGTTCTTGTTTTGACAACATATGGAGATGCAGCCTTTTTCTTTATTATGCTTTACTCTTAGAATTAGATGATACTGGGGGGAGGGGAGGAATGTGATGGGAGTTAGTTAGACATACAATATTGTAATAAGAGATGATAAGGCATGGCAGGAGGAAAAAAAACCGGGCGGAAAGCCAGCATTTCAAATTAATTGGAGAATGTGATTTATGACTGTTAGTTGTAGGAGGGAATTGTGCTTTAATCTATGTGCTGAAGGAAGGGGAAGTCAGATTTTGGCTTTGACTATGTACGTGCGGAAGCTATGCTGCTCAAATAAAAATTCTTTAAGGTAAACAATGCCTCAAAGTTCTTTGAAGAGTTTCATCTGTCGGAACCATGACAATAACATTAACAAGCATACCCAATATATAAAGCTGCACCAAATACGATAATAAAAGAAGCAAAAGGGAACTCTGTTCAACGGGACTCAAATACCTTGGGGGGGGGGGCAGGGGACAGATTTTAACAACTTTTCTAAAAGGAGAGGAGTTAAGCGCTCTGCCATATGGGAGGGAGGGGAAATTAGCTATTACACTAAGGGGCCCAATTGTATCCAAGTTAAGAAGACTAATATATTACGTAGATTTTTAAAAAATGTTGTTTTTCAAAAGACAGCAAATTTTATTGCAGTGGTCGTTGAGTGAATCACTGTTTAAGTGAACAACATGGTGGTTAAGAGAACACAGTGACCATTAAGCAAATTCATTATCCACAATGGGCATTTTTTTTGCTGGAAAGTGGAAACAAACACCGGTTTCCAGTAAAAAAAATATTTTAAGTTGCAGTCAGGTGATCGCGAGACACTGCAAATGACCATAAATAGCAATAGTAATAACAGGTAGACTTATATACCGCTTCACAGTGCTTTACAGCTGTCTCTAAGCGGTTTACAGAGTCAGCATATTGCCCCCCCCCAACAATCTGAGTCCTCATTTTTGCCCCAAAGTCTTACCGCTATCCTGGATGATGCGCTTGAGGTAATCCGCCATCAACGTACGCAATGCCCGCTTGTAAGGCAAACCCAGGCGGTGAGGGAAGACGACAGCTGTGTCTACCACCATAGAGTGGATAAGCTAGTAAGGGAAGGAAGGAGAATATTTATTTGATTCTTCTGTATATTCTTCCTTTCCTTTTGGACTTTTAATTAAAAGTGCTTCAATGCAAGGGTGTATGTTTCAAGGAAGTGCAACTCAAAAGATAGGCCAGAGAAGGCAATGGATTCGAAGGGGGATTTACCCATCAACTAGCTATGGCCACCATGTCAGGGGAAGGGTGTATGTAAAACGTGTGTGTGTTTCCACGCAACATTTACCTTTAGTGCAAACAAGTCGCTTTCTAAACTGTGGCCTATCAGGATAGTTTCTGTGCTGAACATACTCAAGAGAACCGCCTGGACATCCCGAAGAGTTATTGACGCGTTCTCCAGATCTGCCTCTGTCACACCTGAAAACCTGCCAAGGAAAGGTTGGTATCATCAGTTGTTGTTTTTTTTTTGTTTTAATTCTGCTGCTTTTCAGACATATGGTTACCACCCGTCACGGGTGCAATTGTAGGCTAACTCCTGCTCAGAGAACCTCCTCCCTTTTCTTGTCACAAAATCTCTTGAGCAAAATGGACCCTGGTTTCTTTTTGGCAGCACTCCGACGATGATGGCTAAAAACAGAAGGCATGCCTCCCCACCATTTTGTACTGGGAAATAGATAAAAACTGTAATATGGGCAGGAATGTAGATACAACACAAATTCAACCTTCCCCCTTCAAAGCCAGCGCTACCCACATGTGCCACATGGCCCTCTTGACATCTCCTCAATATTACACGTTTGTAAATATCGCCAGAAAAAGTGCTCCCGGCCCTGTCTTATTGGAAAGAACAAAGTTCAGAGCAATAACCCAGAAAGAAACACGAAAAGCAGGTTCCTCCATAGGAAAAACACTCAGCTCGTTTCTTGGGGCAATGTGATCTAGACAGATCAACAGTTTGGGAGTGCAAATCTTCTGAATTAATTTTTCTGATTCACAAACCAAGACAAGTAGAGAGCAAGGCAATGAATCTGAAATTCAAAAATAAAGATCACCAGCTGAAACTCTGAAAAGAAAGCGGCACGGAGGAAGTTAGACCAGCCTAGCTTCCTTCGTGCGGCTTTCTTTCTAGCATTTCAGCAGGCAACTCTAAAGGTCCAGATGCCTAGCAGATACCCTGGCCACTCAACTGCTGTCACCAAATGCGCAGACTTTTGTTTATGTTCCTCATGCATTTTCACAATTTGTGGGGCCCTCACCGAGTGTTGTAATCCACAACTTTGGAGTCTGGTTTGACAAAGGTATCGTAGATTACTTTCAGGTCTGAGTTGATCACAGTGACGCGCGTCAGCTCTAAACCCTGCTTCGTGTAACACTGCAGAAGACAAGATACAAGAGACACAAAGAAAGCACGTTTTAGGAAAGGTTCCCACCAGCTGTTAGACAACAATAGCCATTCATCAGACCTCAGCCAATTTTGCAATCAAACGGAAAGATGTGAAAAGGAATCAGGCGAAAAAAATGATTCGGAAATGTTTCCAGTAATTTAGGTGTGGGACTCGGTATGCCTTATTTTACCACATTTCTATTCTGCCTTCTTTCTGAGGAGTTCAGAAATTGTAACTGGTACCTTCCACTCTATCTTTTATCTCTGCAGTAACGTTCTCAGCTAGGGTTAAGTCCAGTCCTAGATCCCTCTGCTCTGATAGCCCGCCCTCACCAGATGTTCTCCAGACCTATGGACTCTGCAACTCCCAAAATTCCGACCAGCAGAGCTAGACTGATGGGAATGCTAAGGGATGCGGCTTCAACAAACCTAAAGAGCACCAGCTTGGGGAAGGGACGTAGCAGGTACATCTGTGCCTGAGCCCCTTCTCAAGGATGCTCAAACTAGAATTTTAAAAAAGTTCAATTCTGCAAACACACAAATTATGGAAGTGTGATGAAATTTTGGTTCAGGCTTCTAGATTCTTCCCTCTTCCAGAATGCACCAGTGTATTCCATCTCCCCTGAAATCTTTCCTTGAACTCGAGGCAGGCAACATTTTGTGGACTCTGAGCACGATCAGTCTTGCTAACTGTTTTCTTCTGGAACTGCCTTCCCACCATTTTTTTCAGTTGAGTTTTTATTTTCTACTTCTACAATGCAAACAAAAAAACACGTGGGCCATTGTGGCCACCATCCTGGCTTCTTTAACCACATCCTGGTTTATGTCCTTGCTGATGGCCTCCTCTTGAATCTCAACAGCCTTGTTTTACTTAGAAAACCCTTTCTATGTTACCCCAAACTCTTCACTAAGCATGCATAGTGGTATCAAAGTTGTTTCCATTCAAATATACTGGTGTCAGGGTTCCGACTAATGAAACACTTCGAAGAACTTCCAGGCATTTTATCCTAAAAAGTCTTTTTATTCATGTGACAAAATGTCGGCACGGCATGGATGCTAAGATCTGAAATCTCCACCCCGAGCAGTTATTTTTGCTAGCATTTCCCCTCCCTTATTTTGCTGTCATGATTTATGTTCTCCAATTAGTTTGAAGGTGGGCTTTTCTCTCCTCCCTCTTTCTCATCTGAATTAACTCTAAAAGTACCAGACAGTTCTGCATATTTTGTCATAGCAAGAATATTCAATATTAGCAGCGTTGACAACTGGACTGTTGGGGCACAACATTTAAATACACATTCCTGATGAAATATGAAATCCTTAACATTATTCTATACGCATAGCCAACCTACCATTTCACAGTCCAAGGCGTAGATGCCAGGATGCGCACCTGCACGTGGCAACTTTTCAAATGTCTTCACAAAACCTTCCAGACTTTCCTTCCGGCCATCATGGACATGTTGCTTAAGGTGAGAGTGGGGGAAGAATTAAAGAAGTGTTAAAAAGCTATCCCTGGAGAAAGGATCGGGAGGTCTCCAATCTTGCCCACTTTTAGTTAGCAGACTGGTGGTCTTGCAAAATGCCAACCTGAGTAAACACAATATGGGAAGTAAAGGTTCCTTTTTTTTATGGTGGATGGAGAGAAGACTGAAAACTGACTTGCTCCATAACACAGAATCAAAAGATCAATAACAATTAGAAGAATGAAAGAGAACACTTTGTTACAGAATTTAAAAAAAACTGACAGAAGTTCTCAAGAACATCCGAGAGAACAACACAGAAAATAACAAGTGTATCTGGACGGTAATCTTTTCAAAGAGCAAAACTTGTGATGTCTCGGGGGAGAACAGGATGTACTTCACATATAATGTAGAACCTTGACAGTAGGCCCAATATTCCATCATCTTTAAGGTGGAAAAGGCTATCTTGACAATGGGGATGTATCAAGACAGCACCCAGGAGTGTCAGTTCTGAGCACAAAACATTCTACACGTTCCTAGAGAGGTGTGAACTAAAATCTCTGGAGAGCAAAAAGATCTGATCCCCTTTAGTTTCCTCACAGCTCTATTTCTATATTCCTCTAAATCAGGGCTTTTCAACCAGTGGTACGGGTAGCACCTGTGGTACATTGGAACCTGGCAGGTGGTACGTGAGCACCCTAGAAAAATGGTAGTAGGGGAAGGGAATGAACTGAACCGGTGGCAGCACCGCACAAGCCTGAGCGAGAGATGGCTGGAGCTGCAGGGCTATCAGGGCTCAGTGGAAGCGCCAGGATCAGCACCAGGCTCCAGCTGGAGCTCGGCGCTGATCCTGGCGCTTCTGCTGAGCCCAGAAGAAGCACCGATCAGCTGGAATGTTGCAGCCTCTCCAGGGTCTTGTGATTTACATTCAGATGCTTGGCAACTGATTCATATTTATGACGGTCACAGTGTCCCAGGGTCATGTGAAGTGACCAAAACCTGATGCAACTACCCAGCAGATGGGGGGAAGAAAAACCAAACACCCCCCACCCCACCCCCGCTGCCAATCCTCAACAGAAATGCTCACAACAATGAAAACCTCGGACAGGAGGAAGAGCACGGCAGATGTCTTGCTCGGCTGTGCCTTGGGGGGCACTTTTTTCAATGCCATTGTAACTTCGAACAGTCACTAAGCGAACTATTGTAAGTTGAGGACTACCTGTACTTTATCACTTTTTTCCTGGTCACCAAGTTTTTGACACCTTGCTAGGCAACTGGTGGTACCCGGATACTGCCATATCCTAAAAGTGGTACAGTGGGTGAAAAGGTTGAAAAGCCCTGCTCTAAATGCACTGAGCCACAGTCTCTCTCACAGATGGTGGAGAAGCCCATTTCCTCAAGGAATGCAGTAGCCTCGGGCCTGTTACTTCCTTCTCCTACCATCAGTTTCCCTTATTCTCTGTCAAGGAAAGCCCTGTTGATGTCTTCATACTGTGACCAGGGTTACTATGTAATTACGATATACCCTGAATTATAGCTTTGGGATAGGGTGGTGGTAGTGGTGGGTCAAACACGTGCTAACAGCATGATCCAGCTGAAAAAAAGTACACACAGTCCTAGGCTGGGTCAACCAAAGCCTAATATTAAGATCAAGATAATTTTTTGTTTAGATCATACTTAGAACACCAGGTTGATATTTTTAGGAAGGGCTTTGTTAAACTGGAATATGTTCAGTGGAGAACTTAGATCAGTGTTTCTCAACCTTGACAATTTTAAGGCATGTGGACTTCAACTCCCAGAATTCCACAGCCAGCAATGCTGGCTGTGGAATTCTGGGAGTTGAAGTCCACATGCCTTAAAATTGTCAAGGTTGAGAAACACTGACTTAGATGATACCAGCCCTGGAAGAAAAAAAAACTTCTGAGGAGCTATATTGGGTATGCGTTGTCTAGAAAGGCGGGGGGGGGGGGGGAAATACACAAAGATGTGATAGCTGTCTTCAAGCATCTCAAAGGCTGTTGTGTAGAAGATGGGGTAACACTGATCCAGGAAAAAAAGACAAGAAACCACGGATTTAAAATAACTAGAAAGTTGATTTGGGTTGGCCATCAAGCAAATTTCCCAAAGGCCAAAAGCTGTTCCACCATAGAACAGACTGCCTCAGGAGCAGCTTTCACTGGAGGTGTCTGAACAGAAGCTGAATGGAGTATCTGTTGGAGATACTACAATAGTGGACTCTTGCGCTGAGCACAAGGTTGGATTAGATGACCTCAAAGATCCCTTCCAGACCTTACATTCTGTGATTCTTTGATCTCCGTCCTTCTATTTGGGGAAAGTGTTAACTTGATTGAGACTGCAGCATTGTCCTCAGTAGCCAGGGCCCCGTTCTAAGCTTCCATCTCAAGCTCTTACAGAAAATTCATGGGTGATCAGTCTGCTGAAGATTAACAAGTCACAATGACTAATTGGATGAAATTAACACTTGTGGTAGAAGAAGAGGAAATATTTTTGATATAATGGCCCATGTGCTTCATGGCATAGAGCAGTGTTTCTCAACCGTGACAATTTTAAGGCATGTGGACTTCAACTCCCAGAATTCCATAGCCAGCATTGCTGGCTGTGGAATTCTGGGAGTTGAAGTCCACATGCCTTAAAATTGTCAAGGTTGAGAAACACTGGCATAGAGCCTCGTTTTCTGAGAGACTGCATATTTCCATTTGTTTCTGCCAATCCAGTATGTTTGAACAGCTCCTCTCTATTAAATGCTGCCATCTTGTGGGACTGAGGGAGTGGGTCTTCTCTGTCTCTGCCTATGGAGCAGCATTCCCTGTGAGATGCAAATGGCACTCCCTCTCCTGGGGTTCTGGAAAGCCCTTAAAACCTGCATTTGTTCATGGGCCTGGATTTAATGTCCGCATTGATGTATTTGTGGGGTCCCGTTGCATCCATTAACATTCTGATAGTCTTAGTTTGGGCTGCTTCTTTGGGTGTGTGTTTTTACTGTTTGCTGGATTTTCTAGGCCAGGGGTGTCAAACTCGCAACGTCACGTGACGTGTTGTGACTTTTTTTGCCATTGCCGGCAATGGGACGGGCACAGTTTCGCTATGATGCATCCGGCCCGCGGGCTGGCAGTTTGACATTCCTGTTCTAGGCCATCCAAAGTCTGATGCAGGGGTACCTAACCTTGGCAACTTTAAGACTTGTGGACTTCAACTCCCATGCTGGCTGAGGAATTCTGGGAGTTGAATCCACAAAATCTTCAAAATTGCCAAGGCCGAACATCCTTGCTCTAATGCATTAGGCCGCTATCACAAATTTAATAATAAATTAAATATTTTGTCCTATTACTACAGAGAATGGCTGATAGAAGGAGCCATGTTTTTTTTTCAAGCCAAAATAAGATTGAAAAGCATCTCCAAAGCGTCTTCTATGAAACAGAGATCAAAGTGGCAAAGCGGTGGCTATACTCAGAGAGAAGGTGGTCCACTTTACCTTGTACTTCATGGTTTGACCTAACATGGTTACATACTTTTGCAATTTGGCATCCGAGTGAACCCACGGCTCCTGAACAACAGTTGTAATGTGTTTCCCAGCCACCTGGCACTGCAAAAAGAGAGAGAGAGAAATGCTAAGTGGGAAATCTTCACTGGGCACAAAACCATCAATCAAAGATTAAGCAAAAACTACTCTGGTTGAGATAATCTTGATTTTAATACCAACACAATTCCTTTCTATCAAACTACTTGGGGAGGGTTATGTTTAAAATTATTACTTATAATGAAGATGCAGGCTAGGAAAATGATGCTAAAGGAAAAAGGAAGCAAATAGTAGTATGAACAATTACATAATGAACACAGAAAGTTAAAATAGCTTACTTCTGAAAGATTTGCAAGCCATATCATTTAAATAATCTCTAAAAGGATTACGGACTAGTTCTTGGAGGAGTGGGGTTTGATGACAATTGGTCCTAGCTAAGGTGATTGTAATGAAATGGATCCCATTTTGTCTCCATCACAAACATGATTGTGTTTATTGTCTTTCAATTGTGTCCTTGTGCTTCTTACTTAGGGCAACAATAACCTTGCATGTTATAAAATGCTCTGAATGAATATTTACTCATTTAGGATTTTTTTTTCTAAATGTTTACAAATCTTTGCTATTGAATGTTACTGGAGCTTCATGAAAGCCCTCTTGATATACAGTATAAACAAAGTCTGAGGGAACAAATAATGCCAAAGTGCGATGTCTGTGGAGATTCTCATCATCCAGGTCATAGTTGTCTCAAAGGTGCTTTTTCAAAAAGTAACTGGACTATTTTTTGAGAAAGAAAAACAAGACCTTTTGCTTCTCACCCAAGAAGCTTCATCAGTTGTGACTGGACTGTGTGTGGGGGGGATCCTATCCTTCCATCCTATCCTTCCATTTCCCTCACCATCCAGTCACAACTGATGAAGCTTCTTGGATGAGAAGAGAAACGGCTTCTTTCTCAAAAAATAGTCGGGCTGCCTTTTGAAAAAGCACCTTTGAGCCAAAATGTGATGCTTCTCTCATTTTTTTCATTGTCCTCCAACATCCAAAATGCAATCTGACTATGTGACATTACTATTAGAGATTGCAGAAATACATGGCCATGAGCAGAGAACTAAAACCTAGTGGTCTGAGCTCTCAGAGCAGCTTGCAAAATGCCATCTGTGCATAACCTCACAGGTTTCTTGTGAGAATAAAAATCAATGTCGTGCATTTTGAATTCCACTGGAGAAAGAAATATGCTTTTTGAAAAGCATGTAAACGATTACCTCTTTGCTTCCGCAATCTCCCCCAGTGATGGATGCATTCTTCTTTACGGACACAATTTCCAGAAGATGTTACCATGTATTCTGTGCCACAACGACAACAAATCCTGCAAGAACCTTCCAGAAGAAAAAGAAGTGTGTGAAAATATAGATTTTTGGATCTCAGTCCATTCTTATATATCTATCTAAAATACTATTTTATTTAAAAAAAATTCTTCTATTTTCTCCCAATGAGATATAATAATAATCATAATAATAATAATCATAATTATCATAATCATAATAATAATCATAATAATAATCATAATAATGATGATGATGATGATGATGATGATGTTGTTGTTGGAAGGGAGCTTGGAGGTCATCTAGTCCAACCCCCTGCTCAGGCAGGAAACCCTATACCATTTCAGACAAATGGCTGTCCAGTCTCTTCTTAAAAACTTCCAGTGTTGGAGCATTCACCGCTTCTGGAGGCAGGCTGTTCCACTGGTTAATTGTTCTAACTGTCAGGAAGTTTCTCCTTAGTTCTAGGTTGCTTCTCTCTTTGGTTAGTTTCCATCCGTTGCTTCTTGTCCTGCCTTCAGGCGCTTTGGAGAATAGCTTGACTCCCTCTTCTTTGCGGCAGCTCCTGAGATATTGGAACACTGCTATCCTGTCCCCCCTCGTCCTTCTCTTCATTAAACTAGACATACTCAATTCCAGCAACCGTTCCTTATATGTTTTAGCCTCCGGTCCCCTAATCATCTTTGTTGCTCTTCTCTGTACTCTTTCTAGAGTCTCAACATCTTTTCTACACCATGGTGATCAAAACTGGATGCAGTATTCCAAGTGTGGCCTTACCAAGGCATTCTAAAGTGGTACTAACACTTCACATGATCTTGATTCTGATATACTGATATACGGATCGTGCTGTTTGGGGGTTCATCAGAACAGGAGCCCCTCAACCTCAACTGCAAGGATGACTGTACTGATTGTATGAAGTGGCATCCGAAGAGCCAATGGCTCTTTCCTCTCATCTATGAACTCCTTCTAACCAATATTCAAAGAGGAAAACATTGCATTGGTTGCTTTTTTTCCCAACCAATCAAAAAATGCAAGAGTCCCATCAGGCAAGCTGTTAAGAGATTCAACCACTTGCCACCTTGTGGTACGAGGAACGATTGCGTCGAGGACTGAGAAATAATGAAAGAAATCAAGTACAGGTGGTCCTCGACTTGCAGCCACAACTGGAACTGAATTTCCAGTTTGCTAAGCAAATCTGTTGTTAAGTGAGTCGCGCCTTTTTTTTAGCCACCTTGTTTTGCCAGGGTTGTTAAGCCAGTTACTACAGTAAAGTGAATCATTTGGTTGTTAAGCTATCCAGCTTCCCCCGTTGACTTCTCTTGTTGGAAGCCGGCTGGGAAAGTTGCAAATGACAGTCACGTGATCCCAGGACCCTGCCGCCAGGCGCCTGAATTTTGTTCACGTGACTGTGGGGATCCTGAGACAGTTGTAAGTGTGGTGACTGGTCATTTTTTTAGTGCTGTTGTAACTTTGAATGGTCACTAAATGAATGGTTGTATGTCAAGGACTACCTGGCATTCAGGCAGACAAAACATACTTTCTGTGTCAACATCCTCATTCATTCTGGAGAAAAGTTTTGTTTCTTGTGGCAGAAAGAGTTTGCAGTAATTCAGCTGAGGAAGACCTAGTTGGTATTACCCTGACATACGGGGTCTACCGAAAAGACTGAAATCTATGGGGGGAAAAGACAGTTCCTTTCTGTCCCTGAAGGATGTACAAATAGAAGCCCCTATAAGACTTGGCCAGGGGGTAGGCAACCTTGGCTCTTTTATGACTCGTGGACTTCAACTCCCAGAATTCCTGAGCCAGCATGGCTCAGCTTGGAAACCTCTCCCTGTCCCCTCAGCATGGCTGGCTGAGGAATTCTGGGAGTTGAAGTCCACCAGTCTTAAAGTTGCCATGGTTGGAGATCCCTGCTTTAGAGAATAAATTGATGCTCTCTTCCCTGTGACAGCCCAAGTATTGGAAGACAAATATCTTCTCTTTGTTAGGCTAACTATATCTAGATCCCTTAGTTCAGGGGTAGGCAATCTTGGCTCTTTTATGACTCGTGGACTTCAACTCCCAGAATTCCTGAGCCAGCATGGCTCAGCTTGGAAACCTCTCCCTTTCCCCTCAGCATGGCTGGCTCAGGAATTCTGGGAGTTGAAGTCCACGAGTCATAAAAGAGCCAAGGTTGCCTACCCCTGGTCTTGGCTAAGGCCTCTTCTAGGGCAATTGTAACTGCCGCAACAGCATGAAAGAATATGAAAGAAGGGGAAGATTACTAAATACCCAGAGATTAAACACATTGCTGTATTTCATCAATTCCCCCCTCACTTTCAGACCCCATCATTGTTTGTTCTGACTGTGGTTACTGTACTGTACCTGCCAGCTTATCATGCCAAAACCAACATTATCCCCTTCCCTAAAGTAGGCACCTGTGCTATACAGCTATGACTATTATACATGCTCCCCAATGACTGGGAAATTCTTTCTGAGAGAGCTGAAACCCTATTCCCCCCCCTCCCCAAATTACAGTTCAGCTTTTCACAAGGTTAGACAACCACATTTTCCCCTGATCTGAAGGCACAAACACGGGGAACTGCTTTAGACGTAGGGACAGAATCCGTTTACCTGGCCTAGTGCTCTTATGACTGACATTAACTTTTTGCTGTCTCTGACAGAAGTCTTCTCTCTGTGTTGGCTACTTCAGATTTTTAAAGTGGAATAGCTGCAACCTAGCCTGGGCCCTGGGCCCTCCATTAGATGGATTTGCTTCCAAGATCCTAGCACCAGCCTTGAAGGCCTTCTGAGGCAATCACTCTACTGGATTCCGATGTGGCATTTTATGATTGTTAAATAGACAGACAGACTTACAGACCACAACCTCTGAAATGTGTCCTCAGACAAAGGGCACCCTAGATCACCAATATCTTCTTCACTACAGGTAGTCCTTGTCTTACGATTTATGTGCAAAAATAAAATAATACCTACAGTAGGTAGCTTCAGAATATGCTTAAAAGCTCATTAACATCTCATCCACAAGCAGTCAGTGTAGATGTCTGCCTTGAAGGGAATATACTGGCTGAGGGTTCCTTTCCTGACCTCTCTTCTTCTTCCCATCAAACAGAACATCTGAATGGTTCTTAAGAGTCAGAAACTCTCCGGTCCAGCAGAACTCACCATCAGTCAATTTCTTCTCTTCCATAGCAAAGACAACAGCCCGGCCAGGTCTCTCGGGACACGGTAACGGGTAGCCGTGCTCCTTCAAGTCATCCTCTGTCAGCACGTATTCTTTGAGCCTTCGGTACAAGGTAGCCCCTGAGAACGACAAAGGTTAAGAAATGTTTATCTAGCCATTTTCTCTAGCTATTTTCAGACCAATATCATCCACATACCCGGAAACATTCTGGACAGCTTACGCAGCAATAAAATGGTAATTGCAGTTGAAGCAGCATAAACCCAAAGCAAAGGCAGATCTAAGCATCAGGCGGGTGGGGTAAAGTAGGAGAAAATGCTGAGAAGAAATGCTAGGCAGTTCTTTCTACAAAGACCATCATCAGAACAATCCATCTGGACTAGTCCAGGGGTAGGCAACCTTGGCTCTTTTATGCTGGCTCAGGAATTCTGGGAGTTGAAGTCCACAAGTCATAAAAGAGCCAAAGTTGCCTACCTCTGGACTAGGACAAGGCCTATGCGTGTTCAGCATTTTGTTTCTTATGGTGGTCATTTCCTCTGGGGTGATGGAGACATATCCCTCTTGTAACTTTGTTCTCCAGATGCATGGATTCTGAGATGGGCTCTCCTCAAGACAGAAATAACCCTAATCCTGATAGGCCTGTCCTTCGTGAATTTAAAGCTACAGGTTATCCTCCCCTAACAACCGGTTGCTTAGCAACTGTTGGATGGACAGATTTCCCCAGTGCTACTTATGACTTATTTTCAAAGTTCGGAGGGTTACCCCCCTGCCCCGCCCCCTGAATCTTGGGTGCTCTCCTTTATGGCTGTTTGTAATATCCAATGGTCACACGATCATAATTTTCAGCAGTTTTAATGTTATTTATTTATTTAGCGTATGGCATTGAGCACTTGGATAACTACTAAAATTATGTAGAATTTTTATCATTATACACTATGGTATGCCTATGATAAAAATATGTGGTCACTGTTTACTTTTGATTTCTGGCAAAAAAAATTGCCCTTCGGGGAAAATGGCTTCACTTAATGACCGTGATGTTTGCTTAACTGTGACATTTGCTAAACGACTATTGCAAAAAAAGACTTGTAAAATCAGGGTTGATCAAGCGTGACCAATTTAATGACCACAACTTACGCGCCTAATTCTGGGCTTAATTACGGTCGTATGTTGGGGACTACCTCTATATAAGACTACGGCCATTACTTTGTCCTTTTGCTTCAACAACTACTATAAAGAATCCAAGATTAACTATGGACTATAGAAAGTACTTTCTTTGTCTCATCTAAATTGCATCTAAATTTCCTTCCATTCAATTTCACTGCAGGACCCTTTAAGACAGGGGGAAAAACAGATCCTCATACCCACATTCTTCATGACAGGCTAGATTTTAAATGCCTTAAACATTTTCTCCTGCACTTGCCTTCTCTGTATTCTAACCTTTTCTTGTAAGGAAGGTATTCAAGGCTTTGGGTTGTTCAATCTGTTTCCTAATGATCCTTAGCAGAGAATTTTCCCTTGTTCATAATTGCTGCACAGTTAACATCACTGAGTTATCTACTACAACCTGTTTTTTTTTTCTCATTTAGTTAGGGACAGCTCAGTACCCATCAATATATGTGTGACGTTAGGGTTCTGTACAGAACCGTATTATGTTTTACACAATCCATTCTGTAAGTGAAGAATCATGAAGTACTTTGGCTGATACCAACTTGGGCCAAGGGCAATTTCTCATTAACACTAATAAGCAGCTGCCTACTTGAAATAAACCTTCTCCTCTTCTCTCTCAACAAGACAGAATGCATTTGCAAAGACGTCCCCTTCACAATTAGGGCCAGTTTAATGAAGAGAAGGACGAGGGGGGACATGATAGCAGTGTTCCAATATCTCAGGGGCTGCCCCAAAGAAGAGGGAGTCAAGCTATTCTCCAAGGCGCCTGAAGGCAGGACAAGAAGCAACGGATGGAAACTAACCAAAGAGAGAAGCAACCTAGAACTGAAGAGAAATTTCCTGATACTTACAAAAATTAACCAGTGGAACAACCTGCCTCCAGAAGCGGTGAATGCTCCAACACTGGAAGTTTTTAAGAAGAGACTGGACAGCCATTTGTCCGAAATGGTATAGGGTTTCCTGCCTGAGCAAGGGGGTTGGACTAGATGACCTTCAAGGTCGCTTCCAACTTTATTATTATTATTATTATTATTATTATTATTATTATTATTATTATTATTATTATTATTATTTATTATTATTATTATTATTATTATTATTATTATTATTATTATTATTATCGAACGTTTATGTGATTGATTAAAAAAAAACCATCTTGTTTTGCTTCAAAGCTAGTGTTTTATCCACATTCAAAACTGACACGGGTTAGATCGCTTACAATTTCTGCAATGAATCGTGGAAGTAGTCAACCGGGCAACAGGCTTACTTCGGGATAATTGCACTTTTATCACGAAATGCCCTTCCCTACAGGGTAAATCTGGTCAAACCGAAGAGGGACATTTAGAAGAATCACAGGTACCATGTATCAACGAACCTCTTTAAAAAGTGACCTGAGCCCATTCTTCTCTACAGCTTTTCTGTGCTCTTTACAGTTTTAAAATAGCTCTGAATTGGCTTTCAACACTGATCCTATCAGTTCTCTGGTGTGAAAAAAACAATCAGGCCACTTCTAAAATCAATCTGAAGGTCTTTAAAACAGACAGAAAGGAATAAAATTACATCCCCGCCACAGTCATTGTGTGCATGACAAAAAGGGGAGACCTACCTGTCAGGTCTTCTAGCCGTAAGCTTGTAGAACGATTAAGTGTGTAGCTGGTCCTGGCTGCCAGTTTCCCTCCTAGCATAGCTTCATGAGAAACCAATTTTCTATTGCTGGCCTCTGGAAGAAAAAGACAAGATGTCAAACTAGAATATTAGCAAACATCCTGGGTCAACCACAAATAAAATTTCGGAGTCAATGGAAGTTCTACACAGGTCTCCACACGCTGACTGCTTTAAAAGGTCAAGACCAATATACTATGAATTAAGCTCAGAAAGTGATCATGGAAACCAGAATTATTTTGGGATTAACATCATACACCCCCTTTGCCAATGTACTAAATCAGGGGTCCCCAACCTTGGCAACTTTAAGACCTGTGGACTTCAACTCCCAGAATTCCCCAGCCAGCATGGCTGGCTGGGGAATTCTGGGAGTTGAAGTCCACAGGTCTTAAAGTTGCCAAGGTTGGAGGCCCCTGTACTAAATAACATTTGTAATAGCAGCAGTTTGTGGGCAAGAATGGGACTGATGTATGGCACAAGACTGCAGTGCAACTAGCTAATTGTGCTTGCACAGATGTTATTCGGCTGGCAAAGAGATGTATAATGAAAATTTTGCCCACAGAATTATGCTCTGTTGGCTTGGCAGGCAGTCTTTTACCCAGTCTACTGTGCAAATCTGAAGTGTGTTTTGTTAAAGATACTCCAAATGTTTAGAAATGGAGGCTTAGGAGTATAAGGAAAGAATAAAAGGAAGTGCAAAATAGCACAGAAGCTTCAGTCCGAAAGTAAGAAGTAAAGTATAAGTACATACTTTGAACCTCCTGAGAAGGGCTGGGCAAAAGAGTCCTCAGCTTCTTCAAAGTGTTTACTGCCACATTCAGATAGATGTTGCGACTGGTGCTGCGCTCATACACCACCTTCTCCTCAGCAAGAGCCTGTGAACAGCATGCCCACCATCAGCATTTTGGAATTTCAATATACAAAATGAAATTGCTAAGGCAGGAAGTAGGAGACTAGAGAGAACTATTGTGTTAACATATATTAGGTGGCTTCCAATGCCACCAGGAGAAGGGTCAAATAGTCATCAACAAGGATAAGCAGGAAGAAAAAGGCAAGTTTCTACAATTAGTCCTTGACTTACAGCCATTCATTTAGCAACTGTTCAAAGTTATAATGGCACCGAAGAGTCACTTATGCCCATTTTTCACATTTAAGATCATTGCAGCATCCATGATCAAAATTCAGACACTTGGCAACTGGCTCATACCTATGACAGTTGCAGTGTCCTGGTGTCATATGATCACCTTTTGCAACCTTCTGACAAACAAAGTCAATGGGGAAGCCAGATTCTCATAACAATTGTGTTACTAACAACTGACATGATTTACTTAACAACTGGGCAAGAAATGTCATACAATGGGGCAAAACTCCCTTAACAACTGTCTTGCTTAGCAATGCAAATTTTGGGTTCAATAGTGGTAACTTGAGGACTACCTGTGGTTGTTAACACAGGGAACAGTACTTTCAAAAATAAGGTAAGATATATAGACCTGTGATTCTCTTTATTATTCAAACAGGAAGCTCAACATTGGGCTGGCTGTCTTAACTTTGAACTTGCAAATGTATTTGCTCAGTGAACTTCCAATTTTTTTTTAAAGTGATTCAATCCCTCTATCATTTGGGCCTACAGTTAAAGAAGCGCAAACTATAAGAGTTCAAAGATGCCCAAGCATTCCTCCTATCATTGCCATTACAAATACACAAACCTTGTCAAATGCTCCCTGCTGTGAGGGGCAGAACTTCGAGCACTCATCAATGAAGAGGTTGAGGTACCTCTGACGGATGTTGGTGGGAACTTTGGCGCCATATTCTGTGGGAATAACTGGCCTTTGCAAGGTGGTGCTCTAGGGAACATGGAAAGGGGAAAGAAAATAAGCTATTTTGATAGCACAGTTACTACAATGCTTTTCCTGCCTCTGATTGGTTCTTCTACTAAGCCATATATGAGCTATGAGCTACCTATGGTCTAATAGCCAACTTTCTGCAGTATCCAGCAGCCCACAAGATCATACCGCTGAGATTCAGTGGTGAGTCAAACTATTTTTTTTTCCAAACAACACTCAAAACAATCTGAATAAAAATTAAGAGTCCTTGGTGCTCTCTGAGCTTGACTGTTTTCTTGCAGATGTTTCATTACATCTACTAGCACTGCTGATGTTACCTAGTTTAGGTAATGAAACGTCTGCAAGAAAACAACCAAACTCAGAGAGCACCAAGGAACCCTCATTTCAACTCTGAGCTACAATTATTCTCCTTTGCTGGTATTTCCCAAATTATCCAAAATTCTGCCTAGGAATGACTCAAATACCATTTATATACAAAGCTGGACTATAAATCCTAGAGAAAAAAAAAACAAAAGGAAGCACAATCTTGCACAAGTGCTTAACCTCAACACTCTTTGACTTCCAAACGTTAGAGGCTAAAATTGCATGCAGGGGAATGTTTCATGTGTTCAACTTGAAAAGTTAACTATGAAGCATATACTGGCAATTCATCACCTGCAGAGTAGGAGTATGTGCTATCCTTTTTGTGACACTTGCGGTCGTTGTTTTAGATGCCATCCCAGTCAGTGTTCGAGCTTTCAATCCTGAAGCATCAACACCGTTGGAAGAGGCCACACTTGCGGGTGGAATGATCTTCTTAAGATTTCCAGGAACTGAAAGGGTATGCACAAAAAAAGACAACATTCAGAAGTAGGGCAAAACTCTGAAAATCTTAGAATTATGTAAATCATGGAAAGGATGAGGATTGAACTACCCACTTCAAGTAGACCATTTAGGGCAGAGGTATCAAACCGTGGCAACTTTAAGGCTTGTGGACTTCAATTCCCAGAATTGAATTGAATTCTGGGAGTTGCAGTCAACAAGTCTTATAGTTGCCAAGGCTGGACACACTTGATTTAGGGAGACTTGAGAAGAAGAGTGGAGCAAATGTCGAAAACCCTCTCCTGAATCTCCTAGAAGTCTTTGCTCATCTTTGCTACTAAATTTGGTAACTGAAGTTCTAAGTCATCTGGAAGGGGCCACCTTAATGCCGTCTGAACTAGTCATACCTTGTTCAGATACAGCTGCCACTCAATACAAGGATACAATCAAGCTTACCATCTAGTGCAGATTTGTTCTGCTCTAGCTCTCCAGGTATCCCAGGTAGGTTATTACTTTACTTCCTGTTTTACGTGTTTCTGTTATCATTTCACTCTGTTTAGTGAAATCTATGAATCCTGGAATAGGTCTCAGCATTGATAAGGTGTGAACATGTAAAAACATAAATAAATAAAAAGTTCCTGGCTTGCATATTTGCTACTTATTGCTGGATTACAGAGACTGAAGGAAAGAGAGATGAAACAAAAAAGGATACACCAGACTAAAGGCATTAATGGAATGATAAAAGGCGTAATTATCAAGCCATGGGTTAATACGAGGGCAATTCGGAAATAAACCTCCATTTGGTTATCAATGACAGACACTCACAGATACAGAACTTTTATTATACGCATTAGAAAACTACAACATTATGGACTTCCGGTTTTGCGCCATAGCGGCACGGCCGAGGGATTGCAGAGCTCCAAACCCTACCGCTGGTTTCACCCTGCCAGGGGACCCTAAATGGGTCCAAAGTCACTCCGGAGAGGTGATGAAGGAGGGGTTCCCCGTGGATCATGGAAAGACAGCGGTGGATCCATTTGATCCGGGGGAAGCCCTCCAACCCGACAGGAGAAAGGCTAGCTGCACACCAGCGACTAGCCCAAGCTACCAGCAGCCGAAGTCCAAAAGTACTAACTAGAACAACCGTGAACAGCGTTCTTGGAACTGGGTGAGAATACCGATCTTCTCTCTTCTATTTTGTAACTGATTTCCTGGAAAAGATCCCCCAAAAGCAAAAATTCCTCTGAAGGTGAGAAGGGAGGGGACCACACCCCCACCCTTCCATAGACCGAAGCGGCAATTTAATTTTTATGGGGGACAGAAATATATTGAAATGAACTTAATAATACTACAGTCTGGATGAATCTGAAAATTATGACTTTAAGACTTTACAACTGAAAGACTATTGATGAAATTACAAGAAAATAACTCTTTGCTTTAAAAATTGGAAAATTAATAGCTACTGACATCTAGTGGAGGATTAGAGCATAGAACAACAGCTGCATTGATTCAGAAATTGGCAAGACGCCCAGAAATAAAGAACAACTTGTTCCTTTGGCTTCTCGCCAAATAGAGAACAACTGGGAACAGAGGAAAGAAAACACACTGGTCTACGTGCATCATGGCAAAATCATGCCCACCCCATTGCAGGCAATGGAAAAAAAGTCATGATGCGTCGCGACATGTCATGTGACGTTGCGAGTTTGACACCCCTGTACTACAGAGTGAGAACTATATTTGTTTTAAAAAGAGCTGACCTTCTGGGATTATAAATACTTACTGAGTTGTGGTCTCTCAGCTCAAGAGTTGTTTGCAGAGAAAGAAAAACCTTGACTTTTGGCTAATCTTCTTGGGGGGAAATTTACTGGAAAGCTCCTAGGTGGTTCAACATTCTGGACTGTAAATTTGACTGGCTGATAATTGTAAGACCCCTGAATAGAAGAACTATGATAAAATACTGCTTTTAGCAGTGCTTTAGTAATTGGAAACACATTGAATTATAAAAACCATATATACAGACAAGAACTATATAAGATTTGGTTGTTTGGACTTTAGATTGGCTGGTTTGACAAGGCTAATTACAGAGACTATGGTACCGATGAAAGACTATCTGGAGGGAGGAGATAAAATGGATGTTACATACCTATCTAAAAGTGGTAGGAAACCACACCTAATATCTCTTTCTGAAGGCTCTTGCCTGGAACATCAGAGATCTGCAGGAGCAATACTTCAAGACAAGGCAAATATTTTCCAAGAGGAAATGTATGCAATGGTGCGACAGATTCAAATGACAATGGTTTCAAATCATGATAAGATTAAAAACAACTTTGACAACATAAATGAGCACATCTTCAACTTAAACCTACAATTAAAAAAACTCTCAGAAAACAACGACAAAGAATGAACAAACCAACCAGATAACAAAATACAAACTAGAGGACAGTGACCCAAAGAGGAAAGCTACAAATGAAGAGAACCACAGTCTAATACAAACAAAAGAAAACTTGCAAGATTTTGCCACAACAATGGAAATGGAAAAGATATCTTACTTTCCAGGACTTCAAAATAAACCTGAAGATAGGAAAGAAGATGTAATAAAATGGATTATAGAGTAGCCAGAAGAATTACTAGAGTTTGGGAGACAAAAAAAAACACATCCTACCTAATTTGTCTTTTTTATTCTATTCCCAACATTCACAAAAATACAGGAAGAATCCCCTGGCAAGCTGAACACACTTACTTGGAAAGCTACTTCGCAAATGAAGAAGGCTAGAGTTAGATTCAAGAGATTTGATGTGACTTACCAGATAGAGTACTATATGATTAAACACTTATTTGAATATGGTTAAAAGAATAGATAAATTATGGATATAACGGGGCCCTACAGTAAAAGGGATAAGCTATATAAGTAGTATAGTAGCCTTTATAATATATGAAATATAAAAATATTGGAATGGTATATGTCAGTGGTGGCGAACCTATGGCACGGGTGCCAGAGGTGGCACTCAGAGCCCTCTCGGTGGGCACACGCACCATCGCCCCAGTCCTAGGCCTTCAGCTGGGTTTTATAAAATCTTTTCGCTTTAGGCCTCCGCCGCCATGTACAAAAAAAAAAAAAGGTTCAATCAATCAGTCAATTTCAACTTCTCGTGGGGAAAAAAACATCTTGCAAAGTTGGAATTGATTGATTGAACTTTTTAGCCCCACCCAATCTGCTGTTACCACCACAGCCACGCCCACCCAATGGGCCACACCCACCCGGCACCCGATGATGCATAAGTGGGTTTTGGGTTGCAGTTTGGGCACTCGGTCTCTAAAAGGTTCGCCATCACTGGTATATGTGAATGAAAAGTTTGGATATTTAAAGTTAATTAACACTGAGAAAATTATGACTGATAAGAATGGTTTGAATACAGAGAGGAAATTAAGCTTAAATAAGAATCTTGAAAACAGGATATATAGTGACTTAATAAGATGACTTTTATAAATACAATTGAAACATCAGCGGACCAGAAAAGATATAATATGCTGATGTTACACAAGAAAAATGTTTTTATATCCAACCTTGTATGTATTGAAAGTATTAAGAAATATATTTGCTTAATGTTGATAAAAGGAGAATACTATTGGAAGAAGAGAAGATCAAAGAAATATATCATTAATTAATAGACTGATTATGGAATTATAGAAATTATTATTGTTTTTTAAATATATGAACCCAGACAACAAGCTGTTTACTAAGCACTAAAGATTGTTATTGTAAAAAAAATCAATAAAATATATTAAAAGAAAAAAGAAAAGTACATTACATTACTTTTCGACATAATCGCCATTCAAATTGAGGCACTTGTCATAATGTCTTTCAAGGTTTGAAATTCCTTAGGAATTGTCGCTCAGCGCCAAATCTGGGCTATAGGGGAGGATGATCAAAACTGCTTCAAAAGTTCTTGGATGTGTCTAGTGGTGTGCGGGCAAGCATTATCGTGAACCAACACCACAGCGGAAGTGGTGCCATAGAAAATCCCGCCAAATGTGAAGATGCCAAAGGAGCACTGCTAGTGAAGTTCATGGAGCGTGGTTCGCCCATCAATTCAGACGTCTACTGTGAAACATTACGAAAACTCAGACAAGCCATCCATAACAAGCGTCGGGCCAAGCTGACTTCCGGTGTGGTGTTGGTTCACGATAATGCTCACCCGCACACATATCCTATAGCCCAGATTTGGCACCGAGCAACTACTACTTTCAAACCTTGTAAGACGTTATGACCAGTGCCTCAATTTGAATGGCGATTATGCCAAAAAGTAATGTAGTGTTGTAGTTTTCTAACGTGTATAATAAAAGTTCTGTATCTGCGAGTGCCTGTCACTGATAACCAAACGGGAGGTTTATTTCCGAACTGCCCTCGTATCTTTGCCAAACTGATACAAAGAACCTGGTTTTCCTGCAAGGGTCTTGCTACCTGGGGAACTTTATGAGTAGAGACTGTATACTGGCTCCAAACGGAATTAAAATATACAAATATAAAGAGGAAATCCAAAGACAGCACATGAGTAGAAGTTAGCTTCGTTCCTGTTTCATTACTGAGCTGCAAATCTCTGGATGTGTGAGCAACATGTATTTGGGGAGGCTTTATTGAGAGAGGTGTAGCATCTGCATGGCCTTCCTCCTCTTTCCCCTCAAACTGCTCAGCTGATTCAAGATCCCCTTCAGCAGGTGAGAAGATGAGGATACCCTGCCTTGCTTCTCCTACCTAAAAGAATGAAAAATTCTTCTGCAAGAGAAAAAAAAAAACCAGAAACATTCACTTGCCCAACTTGGAAACTGCCGAAAGAGCTGCACTGGGCACATGAGCAATTCGCTTCCTTTCTCCTTTGTGCATAACAATGGAAGTTCTTCGAGGTGCCACAGGCAATTTTGTGGTCGGCAGGGGTTGCTGTGGCCGCTGCTGGGCCAGCTGCGCTGCCTGCTTTTGTGCTAGCTGAATCCTCTGGTAGCAGACTTCCTGGGCAGTTGGGGGCCGGTAAGGCCGGATCACTGGCTTGCTTGGGACTTCAACCTGAAAGGGAAACGGAGGGACGCTGGTTTGCATGATAAAGCAGAAACCTGTCACATGTGGAATTTGGATCCACAAATTTTGGGTGTATTTCAAACTGGCAAAAGTATGGGGTCAGAATGACTGGCCTTACCAATCCTGAGTATATGATTCACTCATACAAGACAAAACACAAGCAAAGAGGATTCGAAGACAGTGCAAACAGTGTTCCATCTACACAATTTGGGACGTATTTGTTCACCTGTGATGTTTTCATACTGAAGGCAGGTGCTGAACCTATATACACCTTTGCAAAAGGGTTTGGGAAGAGCAGATGTGCTAAGAACTTGCAAATATTTGAGTTTCAGACTTTCCAATCCATTTCACAGGAGTCCTTTTTTTCCTCTTGCTCTACAACAGCACTTAATGGACAAATGGAAGGAACACGTATGACTTGTGAAAACAAAGAGCCCATTGATGTTCCAGAAAAGAGGCTAATCAAGGTCTGCACACACACACACACACACACACACACACACAATTAAAGATCCAGCAGCTAGAATCTCCTTACTTCATTTTTTTTTTAAAAAAATCTTTTTTTCAACCCGCAAACTGAAAAATGTAGAGAACATTTTTTTCAAGAGGAAGGAAGCTAGAAATAATTTCTGCAAAGAAAAAAATAGTTTAAATACTTATAGCAAATGGAACATCTGTATGTCCCATTAACGATCTCAGAAATTTAGAGGTAAATACTCTGAAAAATACTCGTGGTTATCTAAACTGGGGCTTTTCAACCTTTTCACAGATTGTACCATTTTTAGGACATGACAATATTCAAGTACCAACAGCAAGGTGTCAAAAACTTGGTGACTGGGGAAAAAAGGGCGGGATTTTGGGTTTTATTGATTAGATTCATTTATTATAGAAATGGCTAGTTTATACTATTATGGAAAAGTAAAAAGTTGAGGTTTGATGTTAAGACTTCATTCTACTACAGGGGTCTTCAAACTCAGCCCTTTTATGACTCATGGACTTCAACTCCCAGAATTCCTCAGTCAGCATGCCTGGGAACTGGATGCCTCTGCCCTAAACGGTCTACCAGAAGTGGGCAGGTCAATCCTCATCCTTTCCATGACTTACATAATTCTAAGACTTTCTGGGAGTTGAAGTCCATGAGTCATAAAAGGGCCGAGTTTGAAGACCCCTGTTGTACTACAACAGAGGAAGTTGGAAGTCAATGCCTTTTCTTTTCCCCTTCTCCCCCTCACTTTTTTCCCCTTTTTCCTCCCCACTGTGTCTTACTACTTGCTTTTGTACTTTGTTCCATAATCTAATAAAATGTTACAAACTGTGAAAAAAAAAAAAGGAAAAAAAATACCAGTTTTAATTTCTTCAGTGGCGGTTCTTTTGCTCTCAGGCCATGCAGAGGACCCCTGGCGGTGCAGGCTGCATGGGTGAAGCAGATATTAAGGAGTAAGGGAATTCCCTGCTTCTAGATTAGCTGGGATCCTCAATATTTATATGCGAACGTTACATACAAAAAGTTAGATTCTCTTTAATGTTCTCCATTTCTTACGGCAACAGGAATACAAAGAAAATGAAAAGCTACACGTTTAGGATCACCTTGAAAGTTCCAAAGCTATTTCTAGAATCTCACATACTAGAAACAGTGTAAGCCAGACAGCCTTAAAGATGTCCAGAGATGTCCCGAGTCCTGACTGTAGCACGTATCTAAAAACCACAAATACAAACACAGAGGTGTACATCTTCAAGGCCTGAGGGAATCAACAGATACTAGGTTTCAACACTGCATTCACAACCTCATATTACTTGGCTGGGCATGAGAATATGCCCAAAAATCTCATCAGCAAGAACAGAGATGTTCAAGATTGCATCACAGACAAGCTTCTGGTGCCATTTCAAGATCTACTTACATGTCCTTGCTTTGTTACATGAGAAATCCTCCTTTTTTGTCCAGGAAAGAGTGTGGTTAAACTGTCTTCTGTCAACTTTTCTTCACCCCCTTCCTCTTTTGATAGCTAAAGGAAAAAGAAGAGAGAGAGAGAGAAATGTAAATTTCCAAAGTAACAGACGGTTTGATGTTTGTTTATCTTTCAAAATAACAAAAACACAAAGCTCATTTTGAAAAGCAGAACAGGTCAACGCTGCCTCTATAACAGCTTAAAGCTTAATTTGGGGAGGGGGAGATATCATCATTCTCACAGGGCAAAGAAGAGGAAACAGTCTCTTACATTCTTTGATAACCACCTTCCAGATATATCGGGACTGAAACTGACAGGGACTTCTGCAGCTGCTGTGAACACATCTGGAAGACTGGGAAAAATGTATTGCTGAATTTGCTATAGTAATTTTGCAGACAAGCAAATAACTTTTATTTGGTCTTACCTTGCACTTGATGTAACTTCTAAATCCAGGAAACTTTACAGATTATTTTTTTAAAGAATTGCTACTGTAGGGGTTGAAGGATACTTCTTAAGAACAAACAAAATAATCATTTTTGGCCCACTGTACTTGACTGCATACTGTACATAATTGACACATCCCTAATTTCCCCAATACAGGTAAGTCCTCAACGTACGACCAGAACTGAGCCCAAAATTTCCATCACCAAGCAACACATTTGTTAAGGGAGTTTTGCCCCAATTTACAACCTATCTTGTCCCTATTGTTAAATGAATCAGGGCAGTTGTTATGTTAGTACAGTGGTTCTCAACCTGTGGGTCGGGACCCCATTTGGGGTCGATCGACCATTTCATGGGGGTCGCCAAGCAAGGCTGTCCGCCATTTTTTTTGTCCACCATTTTTTTTGTCCGCCATTTTTTTCCCCTTTTCCGGCGGGTGCCTTACCTCCCTTGGGCTGGGCCAGCTGGTGGTCGGCCTGCTCCGTCTCTGCCGCTTGCCAGCTACGCCTCAGCCGGCGCAGGGAGCGGAACCACACATGCGCGGTGCTCCCAGGCAGGGAAAGTCCTCGACTTACGACCGGTTGGGTAGTCCTCAACTTACGACCGGTTTAGTCCTCGACTTACGACCAGTTTAGTCCTCGACTTACGACCAGTTTAGTCCTCGACTTATGACCGGTTGGGGTCGCGGCATTAAAAAGGTTGAGAACCACTGTGTTAGTAGCTGCAGCTGTAAAGTGAATCTGGCTCCCCCATTTATTTTGCTTCTCAGAAGGTCGCAAACGGTAATCCCATGACCCTGGGACACTGCAACCATCATAAACATGCCAAGTGTCTGAATTTTGATCACGTGACCACGGGGATGCTGCAACAGTCGTAAGTATGAAAAGTAGTCATAAGTCACTTTTTTTCAGGACCATTGTTAACTTCGAACACTCACTAAACAAATGGTTGCAAGTCAAGGATTACCTGTATCACATATTGGAAGAGATTACTGAAGCCACAAGAAATCAGGAAAGGATTTCCCTAGGTCAGGGGTAGGCAACCTTGGCTCTTTTATGACTCGTGGACTTCAACTCCCAGAATTCCTGAGCCAGCATGGCTCAGCTTGGAAACCTCTCTCTTTCCCCTCAGCATGGCTGGCTCAGGAATTCTGGGAGTTGAAGTCCACGAGTCATAAAAGAGCCAAGGTTGCCTACCCCTGCCCTAGGTGGTTCAACAGTCTGGCCCAGTTTTTATTCTGACTGGCAGTGATTTTCCTCCAGAACCTCCAGCAGAGAAAGGCCCTTCCACAACAACTATTCATTAGACCTCCTTTTTTTTTTTAATGCTATGATCTGAATCTAAGTCTTTCCACAAGGAAGACTAAGTTCTCCACCCTCTAAGCTACAGGCTTTTTAAAGAAAACAGTGAAGAAGCTCTATGGCTTGAGGCAACAGGCTTCTCTCACCCAATGTTTTCCTATACGACACAGTGAAAATATAATTCCTAAAGCACGAGGTATATTAGGCATCAAGCAATAAAACTGCCCCAAATCCCTAAGCAATCCCGAGAATCGTTGCAAATTTATCTCTAATTAGTCAATACCCTGCTTGCTGTAAACCACTTTGCAAAGCCAAGGGCCAAGCATCCTTGAAATACAAAGGTATTTTATGACCCAATTTCTACTGGTTTTGTATACTAAAATAGGTCTCTATATATTACGATTCCCTTAATGACACCTTTGGCTCCCTTTTTTTTTTTTCCTGTGGGAAGCTATAAGCCATTACAGCCAGAAAATCCAAACTCACAGAATGTATGGAATGGAAGTGGCTGTGATCATCATCTAGTCCAGGGCTAGGCAACCTTGGCTCTTTTATGACTCGTGGACTTCAACTCCCCGAATTCCTGAGCCAGCATGTCACTTATAATGTTCTAAGATAGTCCTCAACTTACAACCACAGTTGCTAAGTGAGACGTTTGTTGAGTGAGTTTTGCCTCATTTTATGACCTTTCTTGCCACAGTTAAGTGAAGCGATGCAGCTGTTAAGTGAGTAACATGGTTATTAAGCGAAGCTGGCTTCCCCCACTGACTTTGCTTGTCAAAAGGTCTCCAAAGGTGATCCCGTGACCCTGGGACACTGCAACCGTCATGTGAATCAGGAGCCAAGTTCTGAGTTTTGATCACGTGACCATGGGAAGGCTGCAATGGTCATCAGTGGTGAAAACCGGTCACAAGTCACCTTGTTCAGTGCCATTGTAACTTTGAACGATCACAAAATGAACTGTTGTTAAGTTGAAGATTACCTGTAGTTCTTCCTTTTATAACACACTCAATAAGTCACATCGTTTATACTTTAAGTAAATCTTCTTACAGTTCAAGGGGAGGCACAGGGACATCACGTTCAGAAATTATACAATCAAGACAGGTATATTTTTAATTAAAACAGGCGGCGAAGCTCGTTAACCCCTCAGCCCAGCCCAGTATTCTTAGGCCTTTACCTGTTTTCCTAGTCTGCCTTTGTCTTCTGTTTTGACATCAGTGGATTCATTAAAAATCCGAAGGCACTCCTCCATTGGGTCAGACTCAAAATCCAAATCCTTCTCTAGGCCAGAATAATCAATCTCATCGTCAGAGGAAGAGGAAGCAGCAGGAGCCTGGGATAACTTAAGTTTCTTAACGTTTGCTATTCCATCGTAACAGGGAAAAGATAAGTCGGCATCATCTCTGTCTGAGTCTGAATTCACATCAGGGAATGGAAGAAGAGGCTGGCCCACCTGCTCCTCCTCTCCACTCTCATCACCAAAGAGATCAACATGGCTCAGGGCCCGCTGTTTAACTCTGCATTTGGCCCTTGAGTTCTCCTTGGCCTGGGAGTTGGTCAACGTTTCCTTAGACCTTTTCAAGGCAGGTTGCTTGTCTTTTCTCTTATTATGTTCAGTTTCACTAGAGATTTGGGGCTTCCTTTTCAACTCTACAGCCTGGAGCTTGCTATTTTTTCTGCTAGTCCCTGATTTTTCAGCAGCAACAGCTTTCCCAACATCTTTGCTCTTGCCAGAGTTCTCCTCCTCAATTCCAGGTGGGATCACAGACTTTGATTTAGTGAGCTTCAGTCCATGCCTATCGATGTGGGACTTGCTTTGTTTCTCCTTACTCCTTTCCCCATTTTTGTGCTGTGCCTTCATGTCCATCGTCTCCTTGTCTTCTATTTTATCTAGATTTTTCTTACCCTGTGCCTTGTGGTCATTTTTCTTTTTCAGCTTATCCTTTGACGCCGCTTTGTTCTTTTCCTTTGCTTTCGCATCTCTGTTAGAAGGCACTTTGACCAACTTGGCATTTTTCCCCACTAAATCTTTGACAACGGTTCCTTGAGGGCTCTCGATGTCTCCCATGTCATACTGCACGGCAGTCTCTTTCATTTGTCGAGAACTAGTATCTATTTGTGGGGTTCCCTTTTCTTTGGCTGCACCCAATTTGCTCTCTGAACCTCCTTTAGATTTAAGGGGGATGGTAGATGCTTCTTGGCATTCATCCTCCGAGTCAGAAAACCTGGCAAGGGGCTCATCGTTGCTAGTTTCGTCACAATATTTCTTGAATGAAGGAGAATATGCCTCCTCGTGATCAACTTCTCTCTTCCGCTTGGTCCCCTTTTGTTCTTTCGCTTTGCTCAACAGCCTGGCGGAATAATTTGAAAGAGGATCATATTCTAAATCTGTTGAAGGCTTGGAGTTGTCAATTATGTACTTGCTATTTACAACAGGGCTGCTGTACTTCTTCGGCTGAGTGACCACAGTGGGGATATATTCCAGTGAGCTGCCCTTGCATTTCGTATTGTTGAAGGAGTCCAACGTATATTTGCTAGACTGACTAGCAGCAGCCACTGTAAGAGGGGTAGGATTGTAATCATTATCACTATTTGCATTGTAACTACCTGGGTTATACTCCAGAGAACTGAATGAGTTGGAGGTTGCAGCCTTAGAAGCAAGTAAAGGAGGTTCAGATGAGCCATACTCTTTAGCTGTCTCCAGCAGCTCTTCGTACTTCTTTTGCTCACGTTCAACTTCATTCTTGGCAGCTTCAATTGCCTTGTCAAACAACTCAAGCTCCAGAATTCCAGAGGCTGACTGGACAATATTTTCCAAAGTGCCATTGCTGTCCTGTGCCACAGGTTTGGGAAGTTCTGGGTTATAGGGGTCATAACCACACCCTGGAAAAGGAAGAAAAACAAGAATATTAGCATCAACCATTCCCAGAATGCCCATCAAATCCCAATTATAAAAACTCATTTGATTATAAAAGATGTGAAGGCAAAGACCCAAATGCCATAAGGCCCTCAGAACAGTCTACATCAGCAATCATTCCTGTTATGTCATCCAATCTCACTGCATAAAAGTATGGCTGAAGAGACTTTTGTGTTTTCTCCCTCTTTTCTTTAGACTTGTGACACAAATCCCTGCAGTAACATGAATATGCTTGCATTTCTTATCTAAATTTGAACTCGTTTCAACAATGAGATGGGCGGCATATAAATTTTATAAATAAACAACTTTCCAGATCTTTCCTCCTATCTAAAATTGATAATATGCAACTTCAACCCCCATATATAGGAGACCTATCCATGACAAAGTATTATCTTTCTGGTCTCAAGCAAAGGACTTAGGTTGGATTAGCACTGTCTCTAGTATTTCACATTGGTTTGTAAAAATAATGGAGATTTTCAATTGCTTGGCCTTGAAGAAAGTGAGGAATTTTAACTAGGTATACCTTCTTTCTAACTGGATTCAGGAGTAAATCTCAGCTAATCAGATTGTCCTGTTCCTATGGGAGTTATCCTAATGCTAACAGTGATAGAGATAAATCTATTATGGAGAAACTAATCCTCCAAATAATAACAGGCGAGCTGCACTCAAAAGTGGGACATGAATTAGCACACACCAATAATGTGGTCGAAAAAAAGAGACAAAACCACAGGACTATTGCAAGAAAGGTGAAGGAACCTTAGGCAACAAAAGAGACAGTCAGCACAAATGAAAAGGAGACACGCATAAGCCATTTTCACTTCCAGTTCATGGTGAACGAGTGTCATGAACTTTTTTTGGGGTTAAGGAGAAATATGCTTTTAATTTCTAACTGAATCCCTGATGTGGAGGAAATATAGGAGAGTTCTACCGTCTTCTTTCACACAATATTTCTACCTGATAAATCCAACATTTTATAATAGAAAGAAAAATGCAGATTCACGGAATTCAGATGAGTTCTGTACTGAGGTTATGGAGGCTTGCTTTGATCAGAGTTAAAAGGGATTTCATGAACATTCAAGAACAAAGTTCACCTACAGCCTTTAGCCATGATAGCTTGGAAGTCTGGCGGTCATCCCAGAGACCCTCTTCCTTAGCCACATATGCCAAGAGAAAAGAAAAGACTTGGAAGAAAGTTGCACAACACCTACCGATACATGCTACCTCCATTCAGGGAACACTGTTACTACTAGTAATTTAAGAATGCTCAGGGCTCCAGTAGACAGGAACAAATCGACCTCACATTGTGAGAAAGGAACAGCTTAGGCAACAGGGATTGAGCTCCACCTCATCTAATTAATATCAGCAAAGACTCCTCAGAACAAGCCAAAATAGGGCACCTATTACAAGAAAAGTTCTAGGAAAAAACTATTGCTTAAAAAAGCTGTTTCCAACTCCCTTTTTTAAAAAAAATGTCCCTTTTTCTTCCCCTCTTGAAAGCTAAAGATAAGACCGCTGTAGATAAAGGAGTGGTTTATCCAAACCACCCCATGTGGAAATATACTCCACATCCAAAGTCTGTCTCTTCTTCTACTCTCAAACTCGACTCTCTCTACCTTTTGAAGTTATCCGAACTTCAAAACTTAAATATGCCCGAAATGGTGTTTTGAGCAGGTCTATGCATTTGTGAGAGCCAGTTTGAATGGTTAAGGCACCAGGTTAGAAGCCAGGAGACTGTGAGTTCTAGTCCCACTTTAGGCATGAAGCCAGCTGGCTGACCTTGTGCAGATCACTATCTCTCAGCCCTGGAGAAAAGACAATGGCAAACACCTTCCCAGAAAAACTGCACTTGGGCTTTTTCAGGCAATCGCCAGGAGTCAAAAACTGACTCAAAGGCGCACAGAAATACATTTATGGCTACCTCATGCTCTGTAGCACTTCAGGAAGATTTTACTGAAACTGCAATTCAAAAATTACTTTAGAAACCCTTGCAAGTTTCACTCCTCCAGAATCTGCATTTAAACACATGGCAAGAAGTTGAATCTTTCTTGAACATCTGCAGTTCAAAACTTAACATGTCTATAATTAGTAAGGAAAGGCCTTTATATGCACAGAGTACTTGAATGTTGGTCAAACCAGCTCCCAAACCCTACAAAAGATTTATTTTAGTAGCCTATTTTTTTTTTAAAAAAAAATATTAAGCATTTCTTAAGCAGGTAAAAGTTCTGGATAACGAGTACTGGAAAAGTCCATTTTCTGTCTAAATATCTGAAAAACTGCCATCACGGACAGTAGATCAAAATCTATAAGAATAAGTTAGACCTCGTATAAGGAGGCTTTTCATGTTCCTAAAGTTAGCCACTGTCTAAAAACATGCCAAAAAAGGCCATCATGGGACTTAATTACAGATTAGACATATCCAAATACAGTTACATTTTTTCCTCTTCTCAGAAATATATATTGGGAAAAGCTCAGGAAAATAATACTATCTGCACAAAATCACTTTAAATTCTGAATACGTTCCTTGAATAAAAACCTACCAAGGTTTTTAAGCTTACAGGGAAATGTACAAGATCCTAAATGCATAAACATTTCATATCTCAAGCTCCTTTCCTTCCATACCATGTTCTTGTCATGCAACATTTTAATCACAATCTTAATGCAATTCCAATTGCTCAGACAATAAACACTGTTCTGCTATTAAAAGCTGAAAGGGGAAGACTTAAGAATGTAAGTAATATTTTATCTTCTACCTAACACTATATACAACTAGATGATGCTATTTAATTGATTTCTAAACTTTTTCTAGTCAATGTTTTCATAAATAAGTCCAGAATTACCTAAAAAGAAAATATGTTAGCCAATGTTTTGGACACAGGTGGCAAAGAAGAGCTAAATAGCCCACTAATGTATAAAACTAAGCAGCTCTTTTGCATTACGTTTTCAATAGTACAGCCAGTACGTAAAAAGACTGCCACTGTGTTGTTTCTTTCTGACATAACAAAGGTAAAAATCATAACCAGTGGACAAAAGTTTTATTTTCTCTTTTTACCTGGGCTCTCATGCACAGACAGACAACGGAGGTACTTGTTCATACTTTCATCCAAAGGTCTCTTTCCCTTTTAAATGTCTTCTTTGCCTCTACAGCCACCCTGACACATCAGGCTATCAAAACATGTCCTACAGTACAACTGCCAGCTCTTGGACAGCAAAGATAGTTCAAGGCTGGAGGACAGCAGACAGGAAGCTTGTTAGTCCCACCTTCACATATACTGCTCTTAAAGAGGTACTTCCCTCTTAAATTACCCCATTGTTTTTTTTAAAAAAATAGCTCACATTCAGAACAAGCACCTCACATACACCAAAGCTCCAAATGTACAGTAGATAAATTTCCACGTTATAAACTATGTATAGTTTAAAACTAGTTGGAAGTTGCACCTAATTCATAACGCAGCAACCATGTGCTTCCTAGCACCTGCTATCAGAAGCACATTATGCCTTTGTGAAAGTCCCTACACTAGATCCTTATAAGCTTATAGAAGCATTTAAAGTGCTGGTTGGATTTTAAAAGCCCGATGTGGCTTGGCAACTACCTCCGGGACTGCGTACTCCAACCAGGATTGCTCCAGCCAATGCTGCCATCTCAGAACAAACAAATAGCCTCAGTTTTCCAGGAAGGGAGGGGGACTGAAGCTAGAAAGTGCCACTTCTCAATGACATCACCCATTCTTTGAAATACCACCCTCCCTGTTTACATTTAGGAAAACGCTGAAAACTGAATTCTTTTTAAGTGTGTTTGTTGTGCTTTAAGATGGCATCACGTGTGTTAAATGTGTTGAGCTGATTGGTTGGTAATAATCAACTGAAGGCTTTTATGCACAGTTGCTGACTTATTTGCAATTTTAACGAAGTTTACTATGGTCGTTTTATATAATTTACCACGGGTATTTTAATTCTTTTTGTACTGTTTTCTTATGTTAACCACTGAGAGTTATATTTTAATTGCAGTGGCATATAAATGGAATAGTGAGACTCACTGAATATAACTTAGGTTGGCATGTATTTATGAATTACCCAATTACTAAAAGGTGGCTACTGTACACATCTTTGGAAAGGGGAAAGCACCAGACATGGCCAGTCAGTCTGATACTGATGACTGGGACAACTGAAGAATAGGTTATAAAGCGATCGACTTAAAATAGAAACTATTCAAATAATTTAACAAAATGGCTACTAGCTAGATGAAAGCTGAGGAGAACCAAAGCAATACCAGCTCAGCCACTGAGATCTTCAACTGAGGTCTTACTCGCTCTGTTGCTGATGCAAAATGTCCAAAGGATTGTCCCCTAGCAAGGGCTTTCTTATTTATGATGTCACTGGCTTTGGAAATACAATGATAATAAATAATAATTCCCACTTCTTTTCCTCAATTCTATAGCATGATGGAAAACTAGTGGAAAAATCTGTAAAGCCAATTTACAATTCAGCCCCAAATTATATAAATATATATTTTATGGGAGAAGACAACAACTGCAGGACAAGACAACAACTGCAGGACAAGACAACAACTGCAGGACAAGACAACAACTGCAGGACAAGATCCTGCAGGAGAAGGGCAGTGTGGACAACCGTGGGATCTGGCAGGGTGAAAGTTGTGAACCATAAACACAAAGCTTTCACTGTGTCCCTGCATAACAGATACTGCCTTGCTGACCTTAATGGGGACATTAAGGAGACAGGTCAAGGTAGTTGTGATGATAACTCAAATAAGCAGGGTCTGAGATGAAGAACTTGTTTTTGACAGGTTCTACACATCAGGTACACATCTAGAATCAGGTACTACACATCAGTCATGCAAGAAGAGCAAGGCATCCAAAAAGAGAAGACACCTTCTGGTTGGTGATTCAACTATAAGGGATGTAAATTTAGGAAAGGACACAGAGGTTTTGAAAAAGGCCAGGTGTCTTCC